TATCATTATTCGAAGTAATCTGTTAATGCATCTCGTCCAAGGAAGATACTAAATTAACAATAATATTCACTGCTGCTTATTATAACAGTTCAAAATGATTAGAGATGGCCACTTAATAAAGGACTCTACTGCATTAGCCTACATATTGGCCGCTTATACAGATGGCCGTTTAAAAGAAGGAATATTTACCTATGTCTCATGGAAAAAATGACACCATGTTTGTTCCACAAACAAAAAGGCCGGTAGTTGAAGGTGGTTGAAAGTGGCAAGGATTGAGGTGGCAGTTTCGGCTGGTTTCACTGCATTTAAACTCGTGGAAATAGTGAAAGGTGACATTGTTGATTGTGGTGGGAATATATTATGAAACGAAATTACAGAATTAAATTTCAAATTTATTTCAGAAACTCATCAAATGCTAAAACTATAAAAAAAATCTCGTAAGCTATTGAATGTTGGTCATTCAGGATACACACAGTGTTTAATGTCGAAATAAACCATGTACAACTCTAGCAATGTAATCTCATAGACTCTAAAAATCGTGTTTAGAACAGAAACCCGCCAAGCGATGTCGATTGACGGGTTTCTGCTTTAAACCAAAAGACAGATTTCTTTTTAACCCTGCAGTAGTCGCATGCGGACATTGAGTGAATGACCAGGTAAATAATTATTCAGTCTAATAATTAAACTAATAACTACAATAATTGGAAACCAAGCTAGTTTGAAGGGTTATAAAAGCGTCAACCCAGGGGCCAGTTAGGTTACACGTTCAGGAGGGAAGATTTTCTAAGAAAGATACAGGAGGTGTCGCTGTGATCCCTACCTGCGTTTCTAAACGTACCAACATTGTTGTTCTTTGTTTGTAAGTAGCATCTATTCAGAGTAGTGTTTTGAAGCGTCTTTTGCAAGTGATTTCATTATGCTGCTAAGTGAGAAAGAAAAGCGTTTTTGTTAGAACATGTCTAGTTCTGAAGATGAACCTGTACGTGAAAGGAGACGCGAGGCAAGGTAAGGGATTTGTAAAAAGGAGGCCATACGAAGTTCTCTATGAATACTTTTATGACATTTTGCATTTGCCAAGCAGAGACGGTAAAGGTGATGTTGCTCTTCAAGACGAGAAACAAACCAAAAATTTTGTATTTTCTAATAGTAATGTGAACTAATGTAAAAAATAATAAGTAGCAACACACATGATTTCAGTACAAAAAATTACTATTCATAAAAACTAATATTTCAAATAAAAAAAGTTATTTCTGATCTTTATATTGCAGAAACCCGCCAAGTGCACGACTTTAAACCATAAAAAATAATCTAATCAATAAGAAAAATATTTACATGAAAAATACTTATCAACTTCTTTAATATTAAAAAATATTTTGAAGTCAGAAAATCACAACCTGCAGGCTAGGTCATTTTTCTTAGATTTCTCGGAATGAGGAATTAGGTGTTTGACGACTTTCAGAAATAAACGATTGAATTATTGTCAGCATAAAAGGCGGGAAGGCGAAAATGAAATATTATTAAAAACTGAAGCGCTCTTCCTTATTGAAACATCGTATAAACGGGGCGTTTTGTGATTCTGGATATCTTCCTGGCAATTGCAAACGCATCACTCCCAACTCAACTTGTGGTGCTTGAAAGAAATGTTGGATTAACGAATTACAGCTCTTTAACAGAGAACGATATACAGGTGTCCTTGAACGAGTAACACGTGAAATATTTCGAAACATTGACAATGCAGTCTGAGAGATAAGATTACAGTTGAACTGCGATTATCAGGATATTCTTACTCTTTCAAGCGCAAGTTTATCAACTTCTGCCGCAAGGGGCAAGATAAAATAACAGATTGATCAAAGATTGGCAGCTCTGACTAAAAAATCAAAGTTCACCTTATTTAAGAGGAAAAAAAATTCCAAAATAGAAAATAGTGCATTTACTTTCATTTAATTATCTTAGGGCAGTTACGTATTTTATTTACATTGTCCTGAATTCACTAAAAATTACACGAGAAATCATACGTTTTTAAACAGTGTACATGACATTGTTCAAAGATCGAACATTGATGAACAATTATTTCCAAAATAAATCTTGGTATTTTATTATGTACTTATAAGAGGAAGTCCTAAAAATTTTAATACGTTGGCTGCCGTAAAAACGTGCATAACATGATGCTCACTGAATTCAGAATGGCTTTGAGCATCAACGGTTGATTCTCAGTCATGATGAGTTTCAATAGCCGTAAAGAGCAGCGTTCGCTTCTCGATTCAGTTTTGCGTTAAGGGAGCTTAAAATAGAGATGTAACAATAGAATATAATTTTCGCGTGTATCATAGTGAATCACTGTTGATTTTCATGGCCCGATATCTAGTAAAGGACCCATCTATATCCTATAGACGTATAAAAAGGGCTCGGCCAGAAGGTTCGTCATTTTCTTGATTATAGTGTGAGTCAACATTTGGAAATTTTGATGTATTCATGAAAAATAGGAATTTTGTCATATATATATATATATATATATATATATATATATATATACGGAATATATCCCTGGTTTGTGGGTCGTTGATACCGAAAAATTCAATTGACAGCAAAACGTCCGTCCGTCCGTGAACACTTCTAGCGCCTAAACTATGAAAAGAATTTTTTCCAAATTGAAGAAACTCCTGTCCATCTACTTCGAGTTGAAGCTTTGATATTTTGAAAATTAAAATAAAAATTTGTGAATACTTTACATGAAACCCACCGAACATTTTCAAGATGTTCTTAAAAACGGTCCGAAAATTTGTTTTTTTAAACTTCTTTTAAGAATGGAGTAGCATACAAAAGTGGCATAAGTCCAATTTCCACTGTTAACTCTAAACATTCAAAAATTCCAAAAGTTTGAATTTGTTCGGGGTCTTCCTACAACTACAAAATTAAAGATAGAGACCTTTCGTTCAAAGAAAGACGTCAAGGACAGATGGGTGGGACAAGCGGGAGAAACATACGGACAGAAAATCAATCAATAATAAATTAGCTAAACCATAATACCCACAGAGTACACCTATCAACTACTCGTCATCATCATCTTCACGCTCTAGGAATAACGACCTGTTCCGGTTCGATGGTCCACCGTTTTCTTGGTTTCCCGGGATCTCGTTTTCCAAGTCTTGCCGTGCCTTTTTATAAAAACGCTGCCCCTCTATTCTAGTGTATAGGTGTTGGATACAATTTCTTTCGATTTGATAGAGCACTAACACAACATTTGGTTATTTTCGAATATTATGATTTCTTTCGTGATCAGTTTTCGTACAACCATTTCCTGCTCTCAGGAACTTCATTTCTGATGCCTGTATTCTGCTCATTTCTCTTCGTTTGAAAGCCCAGCATTCGCTACCACACAGCAAGGTTGGTATTGCAATTGACTTATAGGATTTTTACTGTGTTTCTTTTAGAATTTTCGTACCAAGGGTTCTTCTTATGGTTCCATACATTAGCTGGAACCGCGAGTTTCTTCTGTATGTCTGACGTAGTTGTACGATATATCGTTTCCTAGATAATTTAAGTTGCTCGCCTGTTTCAGAACCTGTTTTTCTACCACCATCTTCGATTTTACTGGTTCCTACCCGCAAAGCGCCTTAATTTGGGTTTTAGATGTGGATATTTCACTGTTACAATATCTATTTTGCTGAGCTTGTAGATATTGAGCTGACTTTCATCTTATGTTTAAGCAATCAAAACGCATGCATATAAGATGGAATTTATAAAACAGTTTTCTGCAATCTCGATATCACAAGAGGTGTAACAGTTCCATACATTCAGCATTGTGAATAGCAATGGCGTCTCCTGCTCAGTAAGCATGGGGATGCGATCAGAGTTCTACGGATTAAGCAAGGCAGCTGATCAATTAAGGCATTTAATCATGTACTATATGTTTATATATTCTGAATTTCAATGTACATAATTACGGACTATACATTCTTTGTGAATTGCTAATTTTGCATTGCTTACTCTGTCAATAATAAACATTACAAAATTTCACAAAAGTACTTTGAAACATGAACTTGTTTTATTAGAGGTCAATTTGCCGTTATCTTCTAGCGTATTTGAGAACCAAATAGAGTTTTTTAAACTTTTCAAATGAGATTGAAAGTGTTCACTCATTGTTTCCTGCCTCATGTAGCTCCTCCACTTCTACAACCCATGTGCTCGCCATAACATATCTCATACGAAAATTGTTGAATTGTTGGTTTCTAATTATCGCGTTACAGTTTCTAAACTATGATTTTTAGTTGCAGAAGTACATTTTGAACTATATATTGCAGTTTTAAGAAAAACCTCAGCGTTTTCGCAAGACACAATACACGATAAAAATCTGGCAACAAACTAGTCACGTGCAGTAAGAGTTATGTGCCAGTATTGATAACCCACGCCTCGTAAATCATGTTCTGGATCAAGACTGTTGACTAACATGCATGCGCGTATGTGTGTAGTGTGGTCAAGACGCCTCCTCCCCCAATCCGGCGTCTCCAGTTGTTAGCACGTGACCTCTGGGATCCCCAGTCCTACTGAAAGAAGAGGAGGTGCTCAAAGAAAGGGATAGCGAAGCTTTGGGATGGGGAAAACATAAACGCCAATGAAGAGTCCGAGATGCTACAGTCAGAACCGCAACACTGTCGGCCGAAACCTCACATCTTGCACACAGCACACATGGTGGGGGTTCATTGACCTCGGAAACGAAGCCGAAGCCGTCGAAGAGGTTTCTCGGCCTGTCACATCCACGGAGGTGGATACGTATACAAGAAAGTAAAAGCGTCCATAAGAAATGAAGAGAAAGAAAGAAAGAAAGCAAAAAGCAAAGAGTGAGCCAGAAACAAAGATTCACCTTTTATAACCTTTTATAAGCATAAAGACACATTGTTCTCTATGCTACAAGGGTATTTCTTTCCATTCACTCACGCTACTTATGGGCCAACAAAATTTTCCTTTATGAGCGAGGTTTGAAATAATTTATAAGTACTTACGTCCACCAACATCCTCGCGTAACAAGCTCCTCCATCAGGATCAGTCACTATAAATTCGCAGTCAGTGGGGCCCACGTACTCTTCCTAGAAAGTAAAAGACCAAATAACAAATTAGGCGCGCGCATAATAAGAGTCAAGTTCTTAAAACACGAAAAAAATTTGAAGCTATAATAATGTAATGCCATATAAAATTCTAATGATGCCATGTACATTTCAAAACGTAAAATATATATGCGAGAATGTAAATATATAGTTTGAGCGTTACTGAAAATGGCCAATGTAAAGCTCATTTTCACGCAAAACTTTCGAGTTTTCGAAAAACTCGGTAAGAAATTATTTGAATCAACTGACCTCACAAATCTGACAATGTAAAACGAAATGCTCATATTGTAAATATTGATATCTTAGGATATATTAAAAAAATATTGGTAAAAAAACAGTCTTCGTGAATACTGCAATAGCTTACAAAAACATATCCCAGATTCTGTGTTCAATTGCAAAAATAAATTATCTTCGAGAAAATTCTGTTTTAATATTACTTCCGGTTGCGAAATTCAAACCATCTTCCGCATCCCCACACACCAGCGCGCCATTTTTTTCTAAATTATCCATCTTTTTTATTTATTTACGCCAAAAACAGTTAAAAACTGTGTGTGACATGCTATGGGGAGAAGTTAATTTGAAGTAATATTTAACAATAGGAAGAGACAGACATTTTCCCACACCACCGTCAAGTTCGTCCTGAAAAGGTTTTACGAATTTTCTCTATGTTGCGGGGCAGTGGCATGCATTCGCCTAGCCAATGGAACAAGAAAACGAAGGAAAGAATACACATTCTGCAAAAACAGTTCCTATCCAAATGCATTGCTTGCGGAAGCAGAAAGTCCGTGATATCATACCTCAGGATTATCATTACACAAGAAAAAATTGCTAGGTTGTTTTAAGAAATCTCATTAAATACCCACTGTTCCCTCAAATACTTTTATTTGTGAACAAGGTAACCTTCAGTGTAAGGTCATTCACATCCGTGTGAACAAAAACTACATGGTCATTTATTGGGTTATATTAGCAGGCTGGCATTAGCTGAAGCTCCCAAAAAAGAACTTGCGAAATATTGGAAACACTGGAGTGAGGACCCGACTTGCTTAAAAGACTTGTTCGCTGGCGGAAGTGTAGAAAGTGGAACCGACGAAGAGAAGTTGCGACATGTGAACGAATGCAGAGCAGTAACATGGCGTGTTAACTTCGACGTGTTACGATTAGGAAAATGAATCGGTTGTAATCTGGGCCAGTGTAATTAAGATAATATCGTTCATCAATAAGATGTCGTTATTTACTTGAAATGGACGTCGTTAATTCTGGTGATGACTTTGGTTGATTTTGCTGCTCAAGCGTTTTATGCTTGTGTGTTGTTGCATCCGGAACGCAAGCGCCGTTGTTAAATAAGTATCGACTAGTTAGGAAAAACTGTGCCGTGACAAATTATCATTGAAAGTTTACAAAACGTATATTTTTCTCGTAAACGTTTGTGGAACTTTCCCTTGTAATTGCTTGTGATGAAGCGAGAAGTGAATTCACGCATTGCGAACTGCTAGGAAAAGGTGCGCCTTAAGCAACATTAATTCTTTTTTCCGTAATTTGTTTTATAGGTAATCATTTCTGAGGACGCCACGGTTATAAGAAAAACAAGATTGGCGTGGATCATAAGCCGTGGTAGAGAGACATAATGTGCCTCTAGTGATTAATCTATCTAAAAATAAATTTAACGTAATTTAATGAAACATTTTTGAACAGATCGCTTTGAACACTGAGTGGAAGCAAATAGATCCTGAAAATTGGAATTCTTATAATTACATTGGTGCTAAAAACGTTATTAAAGAGATCCATAGCAGAAAGAAATATCAAGCTATTCGAAGAATATAAAAGTTAACCAACTCTTCATGAAGAGCAACAACAATACATTACACATGTTCTTTTAGAATATCGAAGAAATTTTCCGCCAATAAAATAGAAACAGCCAATAAAATAGGCCTAACGAAATCGTTCTAAAAACGTACTTGTAGTAAAAAATTAATAAAACAATCATCCAACATTTAATACTTTAAAATTCGTCATAAAATATTTTGAAAAAAAGTAGTCGCTGCGACGCTAATACAACACGCATGTGTTTGAAGAGTTACCGTACAGGAAATTTGCAGGGAAACGTAATGACATATGAAGGAAACAATTTTTAAGAGAATATAAATTTATTTTTGGTCAAATTTCGCCGAGAAAAGTTATTTTTACTTTAATTGATAAAAACTAACAGAAACGTCTTAAATTTTAATTTCAAACAAATTAATCATAACTTAGAGAACATTTCTAAAAAACTGAGCAAAATATGAGATTTTATTGAAAAAATGTCTGATGGTAATGTTGTTTCATTATCCCTTTGTTAATCATTCTTCCTACGTGATGTACCCGCCGTGATCTGTATTCATTTATTTTTTCTGTGACAAAATATCTTAAGTTTCTGTCTCATATCTCCACTTTTTATTTGCCATGACATTATACAATTTTAACCGTGTCTCTTTTTATATTCATATTGTGAAGGTATTTGTTTATTGTTCCGCAAGTATGTTGGAAACGTAATTTTGTTTTCATATCATCACTGTAGTCGTGTGTGATATCACAGCTCAAAAAATAAAATGTTTTACTTGCTCTGTTTTCTTCTATTTTTATTATATTTTTGAAAGGATATTTGCCCCTGAATGTCATCACTTACAGACAGCTATTGAGAGACAACATGGTTTGCGAATTGTATTTAGCTGATGCAACTACTTTTGCAGACATTTCTTTCTTGTCTATAATTATATGGTCATCGGCATACAGAAGTGAATGTAGAGGTGTAATTGGATTTATCCAAATACTTGGTTTACTTAAAATTGTTCATTCTCTTAGAATGTTGTCAATATAAAAATTAAACAAAGTGAGGGACAAGCTGAACCCCTGTCTTACACCTCTTTTTATTTCTAACTCTTCAAACATTTTGTTCTCAACTAGAAAATTAATAATTGTTTTGTGAGACAGTGATTTAATAACTTCTATCATGAGGAATGGTTATCCCCTTTTTCGAAGAATCTGCCAGAAAAGTTCACGATTAATTCTATTAAACGCTTTCCCATAATCTATACAAGCTATGTGGATCTCTAAATTGAACTCTCGTCTCTTTTCTATCACAAGTATTTGGTTTATGGTAACCACATTCACTGTACCTGATCTTCCTTCCATGAAACCACTTTATTCTTCCAATAGCAGTGTATCAGACATTGTAGTGAGCCGTTTATTTATTATTTTTGTGTACATTTTGTAAGCATTAATCAACAGGCTTATTCTTCTATATTTCTGTGGCTGACTTCTATGTCCTTTCTTAAGAAGAGAGATGACTTTTGCTTTCTTCCATGCATCAGGTATTTGGCATTTTCTCCAACAATTATTAAATAGTTCAAGAAGTCTGATCTTCACTTCTTCACCCTCATATTTTAGCAGTTCTCCCCTGCTATCATTTACCCCAGGAGCTTTTCTATATTTCATGCTTGACAGTACACATTCCATTTCATGTTTGCTCAAAGGGTGTATCTGAAAGATGAAAAACATCTTATCTTCACTGATTGTGTGACTTATCTTCACTGATTACAGTTGGGTCTTAAAGGACATCTTTACAATATTTTATCCATTCATCATTCATTATTTTCATTTGGTTACATTTGGTCCTTTTCCTCTGATTTTAAATGTTTCATGATCTTGTAAGCCAGATTCTGCCTACCATGGACATAATTTTCAATTGTGCTAATGAAAAGGTCCCATGATTCTTGGTGAGCTTTTTTCACTAATTGCATTGTAATCGTATGTAGTTTTCTTTCCTCCCTTGTGTTGATTTCTGAAGTAATCTTGATGGGCATTTTTCTTTTCACGCATGGCTTCAGCAATTTCATCGTTCCGGATTTTCAAGCCTTTTCTTTTTCTGTGTTTATTCCTTTTATATTCCTTCATATGCTGCAGTGTTTATAATATTTTCAATATGTCTCCACTCTGCGTTAATGTCATCTTCTAAAGGTAATTGTCCGTTTATTTATTTCAGACGTATTTGATAGAGATTTGTTATGCTTTATTCTCTAAGGAGATGGTCTTTGTAAATATATCTGCTCATACATTCCCCCAATTTAAGCTCTTTTGGCATACTTTTCTTCCATCGAGCTATAATGGAGATTTGAGACTTCTAAGACATGATCGGATGATATATCACTGCCTCTGTAAACATAAATATTTTTAATTTAAGGTGCTAATTTTCTGCTCGCTATAACACAATCTATTAACGATCTTGTGGTGCCATTGCTCCAGGTAAATGTATTTATATAATTTTTTCCTGAAGAAGATATTCGTTATAGTAGCAACTTTCTTAAGTTCTTGCCCATTTCTATTCATAGTTTCATCTTCAAAGCAACCAACAACGTTCTGAATTATCTGTTTTTCTACTCGGACACTTAGATCTTCAGCATTTATTATGTAATCATTTTTGTTACATTACTTAAACCCCTTTGAAATGTTTCATAAAATGCGTCAAAGTCCTCTGTTTGGTGCTCTTTCTGGTGCGAATTTACGAACAAAGAAAGTAAATTTCGAAAGGTAAGGGAAATAAAAGTAGAAATTAATTTGGTGAATAAAAATCATCACGATCAGGTTTTTGTCCCCATGTCGATCAGACTTTTGACCAGTTTCCCTGATCCATTGAGCAAATGATGAGATGGCCCTTTGGTTTGCTTCTGGACGTAAATGTAGCTTCACTATGCGCACGTTTTGTTGAACTCTCCTTATGCTTGTAATGGTAGGAGTAGAGGTAATGGCGAGTTACTATTTTGTTAGCAATGCAGAAAAATCATTCCTGCAATTCCTTTAGCCATGCAAATACGTTTTCTATAACTGGGGAACAAAAATGTCTAGTTTTGTCAAATATTGCTAAATCCCGCTTACTAAAAAAATATTTATTTATTTTAAACTTTTACTCATCTTTCAACTATTTATAGTTAAATGATGGGAAGGGATTCTGGAACTCAAGAAAAAGTGTGCAGATGATCATCTCCCTCGTATGTCAAATACAGTTTTAACTGTTTTTTTGACTAAATAAATCTAAATCTGAAAATAAAATCATTGTTAAATAAATACTTTCCTTTAGAATTTTCAAATAATGATCAAAAGTACAACTGCCTTCCTTATTAAGAAAATAAACAAAACGTTTTTCAATGGTGAAATAAATCCATGGTTGTATCTTGACATGACGCAAATGATGTATGGTAAAATACTCTGTTGAACTCCTACTTTTGAATGAAATGGAAGAGTCTGTCTCGTTAACAACTATTTCTGACCAGGTACAGAATTACGAGAGGTATAATAGGGCTAAGATTAAGACGCATTACGAAATTAAAAATATTACCTCTACCAAGCACGACGCAGGACTACTAATAATAGGCGCGTTGTCGTTTACATTCACCAGTTCCACAGTGACAACACCAGTATTAGGGGACGCAGAAGGTTCGTTCAATCTGACGACAAATCGTTCTTCGCCCGCTTCGTAGTCTCCGGGTTCAGTGGCTTCCAAGTAAAACGGAGTTGAAGAGGAGCCGTCATTTTGAAGTTTTATGCCCAAGCCTCCGCCTCCGGAGAGTATGTTTGGTTTTTCCTCACCTGTAACAAGTAGTAACAACCAGTGCATGATTTCCAAAATTTTAGATTTCCGGAACGTGCCTCAAATTAATTATTAATTTAACAGAAATAGTTGTATATCTATAATATAACTTAATAATCATAAATCATACTTAATAACAATTAGTAACAATCATAACACTGGCTCTTTGTCATAATAATAATAATAATAATAATAATAATAATAATAATAATAATAGGAAACATAAAAAAGTTGGGTTTATATTGATATTTATCGTTTTTGATTGATAATATTTCATTCGTAGAAATAATAGTTAAATAGAAAATGATTTAATTTTGAATTTCCGAGAGTTGGTAAGAACTAAAAATCAAAGTCGCCTTTTGCTTTTTGTTGCAATTTTGTCATAGAGTATGTACAGTGCAGTGAATCCACACAAATCACATCTTCCTAACGGTTTACAGTAGGGGCAGACACATGTAAAATACCATTTTTAATAATTACTTTAATAATTATTATGTTTTTAAACATCGATGCGATGTTTTAAAATTGGTTTAGTAATCTCTAAAATAAAATTCGTGGGCAACAAAATTTCATGTTCAGAACCGTGTTTACTGTTATAATAAAGATTAAACTGAAAACAAACTAAAAATAATAAGAATAAATAAAAATATTCAGGCTGAACGCCCACAGTAATTTCAAGAGGGTACAGCTTCCTAAGTTCGTTGAAGAAGGTTATGAGAATAAGGGGGGAAGCCTTACGCCCACGGCGAACGGCCGCCTCTGCAGGTGAGAAACACGTGGAAAGACGTACGAAATGCCAGGGCATCGGGGTCATTCTGAGCGAGAGATAGTCTCCTCGGTCAAGATAGTGCCATTAGTGCACTGCATAAAACAGAAAGTAAACTACAGTGCCAGTTCGATTTTGGCAGCGTGTCATCCGTAAATGACGCATACAAACCACCACAGGGTTTTTTTTTATAGGGCGATAAATGGATAGAGATGGTGCCAATCAGAAGGTGGCTCAGCGGTTTAGTAGGCCGATAGATAGCATTACGTCCAGTGTGTTTGAAGAGAGTATTGATAATGCATGGAATGACTAAGCGCTCGATTCAATGAATTACTATAAAGAAAAATATTTCATTATCGCATTTGTGGTGAAAAAAATATTTTCCATCCTTTTCTTTGGTGATTCCAGGGCACATTGGCACTAATCTACAAGCCGCCATTGAATGCAAGTAAAACAGCGCAAATTTTGAATTTCCCAACTTTTCTTACAACGCTCCGTGTAAAAGTGTGGAGACACCAGAGGTATCTGGACACATTGAGGGATTATCGTGTGCCCAGACATTAAAAATAATTTACTAAGGCTCCTTACAAGTGTACCTCTTGAATTCTAAGATCCCTTAAAAAAATAAAATGGAAATTTAACAATATTTTATTAAGATGATAAAAGAGTAATACCATCAGGCTTGTATGACAAACGCGTTAGTACTATATTGCCTTCTGTTCCTTCCCACAATGACAAAAGTGCATTCGTTTGATATGCGGCTGGTTTCCATGTAAGGTTCGCATTAGAATTCTCTACTTCCAGGAAAAAAGGTAAGGGCCATTCGGGAGCAGCAGCAGCATAGTTGGCCCATAAGAACAGGAGCGCTCCTGAAAAAATTAAACAAGCATTATAATTTCATTGTCAGTTTAATATTATTTAAAACAAAATATCGAGTTATAATCAAATTATGGCATTTTTGTAGTTGTTTCGGACTCCTATGTAAAGGAAGAAATTACAGTTTTAATTCGTGATATGCAATGCTAGTAAGAGTAATCGCATTTTTATTTTGATATTAATTTCCATATACCATTACCAATTGCAAAAATAATACCAGACACATTCAAAAATCTGTTTTTTTTTCCTTTTCATGAGTTTATTTCATTTTGCAATAACCTTTTACTTTTAGGCCAACATACAACAATTTTATTTTACACGCTTTTAAAATGTAATACAATGGGCTAATATGTGTTGAGCTTTCTCATACTAGTTAATTTATGTCATAGAAAACGGTGTATAATTTATCTTTATTCGGATACGTATAATTATAATTTAATAAATGTATAATAAAACTAGTAGTGCTACAAAATGGAACAAATTATATTTACCATTTTTTAAGATGTAGACAGATTATACACTCATTTCAAATACAGTTTTAGTCTGAGATTATGTATATACAATAGAACAGGAACTATTTTATTCAGAACTTCAGAGAGTAATAGAACAAACACAGGGGACGAATGATCATGTGGTGATAGTGGGAGACCGGAATGCTCCAATACGATTAGATGCGCAGAAAGGAAAGGGTAGTATGGGGAAATATGGAATGGAGAAATCAAAGAATGCTAATGGAGAGGAAATGCTAGAATGTTACATGGATAATAATTACTTATAGGGAAATACACAAATGCACCTTTGAAACAAGAGAAAGCAGATTATAGTTAAACGTATGAATTATTACTTTACATTCACGGAATCATTTCGATATGCAGTAATGGATATTAATGCGTATAGAAGTGCGGAATTAAGCACGGAACATAAATTGGTGGAGATGAAAACCCTTATTAAATATCCACCTAGAGAGCACCTGAGGAAGAATGGAAGAAACTGAAGTAAACGATGCTAGATGCAGCAATAGAGTTATCTGGTAGGAAGAGACTCAATACGCGTTTTAAAAGAACTAGATGGTGTAATGAAGAGGCAAAGGAATGAGTAAAGAAGAGAAAGGAAGTGTTCGACGCATATATAGTTTCAAGAACGCAAGACAACTGGGAAGAGTACGTAGAAAATAGAAATAGAGCAAAACTAGACATGAAGAAGATAAAGGTGGAGACATGGGAAATATTTGCAACACAATTGGAGGACAAGTATCATAAGAACAAGAAAGACTTCTGGCAGGTAGTAAATGGATTAAGACGGAAACATAATAAAATGGTCTGATGCATAAAAGATTTAAATAACAAGTTATAGACAGAACAGAACATCATTGACAATAACAGGGCAGCCTCTGGTAATTGGAGGGCGTTGAGTGAGAGTCAAATGCTTCATGAGCCACTGGGAAATGGGAAATAGGGGTGAAGCCGAATTGAACCTGGTGAGTAAGAGACACCAGGAGAGAGGAACAGAGGTGGAGGAGGATTCCATGACGGAGATGTAAAAGAGGCAATGAGAAGAATTCAAGTTAAGAAAGCAGCTGGTCCAGACAGAATATCACCAGAAAAGATTAAGTATATTGGGAAAACGGGAAGGACATGGATAACAGCACTATGTCAACAGGTATGAAGAGAAGAAAGAATACCGCGAGACAGGGAAGAAAATATAATAGTACCTCCACATAAAAAGGGGAGCACTGTTGATTGAAAAAAATTACATGGCGACTTGTTTGTCATTCTTCGTAAGTTAATTGTACACAAGGATAGTGGAAGTAAAATTAAGAAGGGAGGTAGATGAAAACGTGGAAGAAGAGCAAGGGGCCTTTAGACCGTACAAACTTAAGACCATATTTACCCTATAAGAACTATAATTTGAAAAAAAAAAACAAAAAACATTGAGTAGGGGAAAAACAATATGCGCTGCTATCATGGATTTAAAGTCAGCATTCGATACAGTACCCAGCAAAGAACAATGCGACGCACTGGAGAAAGCAAAGTTTTCAAGCAAAATGATGGCGGTAATTATAAGTTTATATAAAAATGTGTATGGTATTGTAAGGCAGGATGGACAACTCGGTGGGAAATTTAGAATGTAGAAAGCGGTTAAACAAGGAGATTCATTCATTGATTATTATTCATAATATTTATGGATCGGGTTATTAAACAAATCAAAAGGTGAATTAAGAAATGTAAAATTGGAAATTGGAAAATGAGACCAGTATGGATACAAGCCTTAGTGTATGCGGACAATATTTTAATGTTCACCAAAAACCCAAGAGAGCTGCAAGAGATGGCAATTGAGTGGGGACATACACTGGAGAATAGGGGATATACACAAGATAAACATCAATAAGAGTAAGGTTTTGTGTATAGGCAAATAAAAGGAGGAAATCAACATTAATTGGGAGAGGAAACATGGAGAAAGTAACTAGTCATGAGTATTTAGGAACAATAATCTCGAAAGACGGAAAATATGAGGAGGAATTGAATAATAGAGTGAAGAAAGCAAACTCGGTGTATTATCAAATAAACAACAACTTTCTAAGAATGAATGTAGTGTGGCGTCGTTAACACGAGGGCCAGAACCGTTAGGTCGGTGAAAGTGCGCTGCGGGGGAGG